GATATGAGAACTTTGATAAATTAAAAATCATTCTAATTTATCTATAAGTGTTAAAACTATTTTAACATTAAAAAATACCTTGCCTACAGTAATTTCAGAGAAAAATAATTTAATTTGAATATAATAATTATTATATCAACAAAAAAGCGATTTAATATACGATACACATATTATGAAGATAATATCCACTATGAAAGCTACAAGTTATAAGCTACATYAAAATAATATATTATATAACATGCTAGCGAGCATTTAATATTTGAAATGTATTAAATTCATGAAGAGATTTTAAAAAGTTATACTTTAAATACTTTAAGTTATTCAAATTTATTTTGATCAGTTTTTTGTTAGTTTATTTTTTTGTCAATCATGAAGTATAGTTGATATAATTTATTATATTACTACCTACCGAATCATAATTTATTTCTCTAGTTTTGAATATAAAATGTTAAATAATAGCTTATTTTGGTGTTAAATGAATTTAATTTAACTTCCGTGTTTCATGTACCTACCAATGCTTAATGTGTGTTTAATGGTGATTGTTTYCTTATATTAATACCTGTTTAAGTTATAAAAATATAAAACAGTAAGTATGTATTTAAAAAATTAGGTAATTTTACTATAAGACTTGAGGTTTGGTCCACTTTAGGAATTGATCTCGGGACGTCACTACTGGGTCTACTTTATGGGTTCTGTATTTTTCATATCAATAATTTTCGAGTAATTGAGAAATACAAAATACTAGATTAATAATAGTTTAATTTTATTAAGGTCGTGTAGATATCKATAGTTTTTTTTTTTAAATTTGAACAGTTAAGATTTTTGAAAATCGTAATGATGAAGCTCTTCGGACGTTCGTAGAACAATAATGAGCCAAAAAAATTTTTTTTGATTATTGAATGCGGCGTAAACGTCAAATAATTTTAAGCAATATATTATCTCAGAATGAATTGAGCAAGTTTTAATTGCGACCATGGGCCCCTTCTTGGACGAGAGGATAAGTAGAAGTGGTCACTAGGTCATTTTATAGTGCCAATTCTGGTTAAAATATCGGAAATTTCTGATAAGAAGAATGTAATGCTAAAGGTAGAGTTTCAAGTTGACCATCAATAACAGACGAATCCACGAATTTATATAGATCAAACACGATGCACATAATTAATTTTTTGGATAAAATCGATCGATAGATCTTATGATACGATTATTAAGTACGTATTAGATAATAATATAATATATTTAAAAAAATTCATACCCTTACTTATCTGAAATCGAGAAAAATGCGTCTGAAGAAAATATAAATTAATATGAAAACAATACTATTTTTTAGTCTCTACAATTTTGTAATAGAATTTATATAATGACACAAAATAATAACAATCGTGACCTATACTAAAACGTKCTCAAATATATTAGTTACTGAAAAACTAAAAATTGGAAACATGCAGCGATATCTATTGTAGCGTGTGGTTCTACCAGCGATCCAGGTATTAGTTGTACGGTTAAGCAAATTAATTAATATATAAAAACCATTCCCACCTATTAAAATAAAATAGTTGTTTGTTAAATAAAAACACAAGTTAAAAGTGTAATGATACATGTCTAGCGGCATGAAGGTGCCCAAATGACTCAATCACAAATCTACAATCTACATCTAAAAAAATRCTATACTGCGGACATCCTTAAAAATTACGTTCCTGATCCTCAGTTCATAGACCAGAAATCCTAATATATTTTCAACGACTTAATTGTTATTTTTGCAAGTAGGAAAGTTAGATCGTAATTTGCATTAGAGTAGCACTTAATAATATATAATATGTGAGAGTATTTATTAAAAAAAAATCATGTTTCAATGTTATCTACTATATTTTCAACAACTAGTAACAAATATCGATATTATTGGTTTTTTTAAGTTTTTATTTGTTTATCGGTTATAATAATAATTTTTTGAGCTTAACATACTGCACCAGACCGGCTCCAGACAATGATTTTCATTTTTACTCGTCTTCTTGAGTTCACAGTAAAAACTTAAGAGTTAAGAGAAGTGCTAAATTTGTTAAATATTAATAACCGAAATTCCAAAGGCTAACCGATCAATACTTTAATTCACTATAGGCGTAAATAGTTTGATTACTGTGGTTAGTGTTTACTATACGGTCTTTGAATTATTATATTATGTATTAAAGTGCAATTTTATTATCAATTATTTTATATATTTAATTTAAAAAAATTTATGGAAATTCTAAATACATAAAAATTATTCTAKTGGAGATAAGCAAATTTTAATTTAACATAAAAACTAATAAATGGAAATTTTTTTTAATAGTTTATTAAGGCTTCAACAACACGGGTTTTTAGCCTAAATGGAAATTATATGTTATATTTATATTTACCAATATATTTTATTTAAAAAATATATTCAATAAATATATTAATACTATATAAGATGAAAAACGTATTGAATACAAGTTATCGGTTTCAGAGAAAATTCTTTAGAAAATATTTTGCATCCTCTTCAATAAAGAATGTTGTTCTACGAATTCTTTGTGAAAAATATACTATAATCTTAAATTTTTGTATTAAAATAAGACTAACTAACAAAGGAATTTTTTTAAAGTTTGGATCAA